ACACACACACACAGCCTCTTCCCAATATGCGTTTTTGCAATTTACATATATGCAAAAACCCATAAATATACTGAAACGAATGCTGCGAGGTGGACATGCTGTGGATATAACAATTTTAACAGCACAAGGTCTTGCACATACCCTTTTGCTGCAAGACTCACGGGATTCTTATTGAGGAAATTATGAATCGGAACGAGTTTTTCAGAAATCGAGTGAATAAATGAGAAAAATGTACCTGCGAGATGTTTTGCTGCATTTTTTCTCTCCAAAAAAACCCTACGATACTGTTAGCAGCCATCAAAACGACTGACGTTGGCGTAGCGACCTTTTCGTTGATCCGAAATAGCAGTGTAAGCATTGAAAACGAACATATGTCCACCCCGGAACCGGCGACACCAGTGAATATACCTGTTAATGGACTGTGCTCAAACAGTAACAAAGATTTACAGATTCAAAATTTACACTAAGCCACCTTCGTTTATAGTCTTTACTTTCTTAGCGCAATCGTCTTCATTCATTCACACTCAAATGTAAAATCCGACACTAAAATCCTACATTATTTCTCCCCATTCCAGCTCTCTTATGAAAGTGAGCCATCATGTTATTTCATTTCAGGCATTCTTATTACCCAACTGTAGATGAGTATGGGCGAGCATTTAATACCTCCAAAGAACCCATTCACGATCAGAATAACTGCTTTGAGCGCTGTGAAGTGCTGTATTTGGTCAAATGTTTTCCGCTTTTTCTCCATATTCAGGATAAATAGCGTGAGCGCGAATGAGAAAAAGACCGAAACAAATGCCATTTTTTTCTGCGCTGCTGTCATCAACGGATCGATAACCTAAACAATCCTATGTTAAATCCAGAAATTATGGCGCCTAAGAAACCTACCAAATTTCTCGCTCTGATTGCTATGTCGATTTTGGGTATCAGCTTAAATCAGCATATGCATTAAACCACTCGCAGCCCTTCAGCGCAACTTTAATGAAAACTGAATTTCAAACACAGTTTCGACCAAAATCCACATTCTCGGTACGGAAATTACTTTTATTGTACCACTGAATGTGTGTTGGGGAAAAAAAGGAAAACGCGTTGCTTTTTCAAAGTGCGTGGTGAGTTTTCGTGGTCAAAAAAAGAGTGAAAAACAAATTCAAACAGCTTTCTTGTTCGAGCTCAAAACAACTAGCAAAGCAGCGGAAACAATCCGTAAACGCAACGCAATTGGTCCAGGAAATGTTAATGCAGTGACGGTTCAAGAAATTTTGCAGAGGAAACTGAAAAGAATAGTAGCCGATCATTGGAATTGGAGTACGGCCAGTAGAAAACAGACATCAGAGTTGGTCCTCTTGAAGCTATCGAAGAACTTAAATTTCGCCATTTTGCAGTCTCTGGTTTGGTACTTGAAGAAATTTGGAGAAGCAATAAAACTCGATAAGTGCTTGTCTCATGAGCCGAACGAATTATCAACAAAGTCGCCGTTTTTATGTGCCGTTTTCTCTTATTCTCCCACCAAAACCATTTCCCAATGGGGTTTTGACGTGCGTGAAAACGGATGCAACAACGGGCAACGACCAACTAGATCGAGCTCTAAAGTATTTCCAGCTTTCTGAAGACTGGCAGAACCATTAAAAAATCAAACGAAAACTACAGTGCCCGCAATCGACATTAGTTAGCAGAATGGATCTAATTTTTTCTGTGCAACGTATGGCTGCACATCGTACAGTTAGAGCCTAAAATTTTAAAAGAATTGAGCTGCTTTGCCTAATCTGTCTTGTGTTCCCATCAGGCCCTTGATCCAGTTGCTACAATACATTCCGGCACCTCGATAGCACTGAGGGGAAGACTCTTCCGCAATCACCAGGATGGAAGAAATGCTTTCCAAGAGTTTGTGGAATCTCAAAGCAAAAATTTTATTCTGTTGGGTTAAATGAGCTTGTTTCTCGTTGGCATTAGTCCGGTTCTGATTAATAAAAATGTGCTTGATTCTTTTTACAACGGTTATTCACAGCCTAAATCTGCGCATGTTATCTAATTACTTGAAGAAGGGTAATCTGCGTAGGAAATCTGCATAAAATGTCAAGAGAAATCTAATGAAGGCAGATGGACCTTGATTCTGGAAATCAACGAAAATTATTAATGCTCTACAAAAAACGAGCTGAACACGCGCAAATCTGGTGGCTCGATTCGAGGATTCCTCAGTTACAAGAATAAAAGAGAAAGAGCACTTGCAGTGTGTACACACGAAGTAAAAGCTCCGTTGCACACAATTTTCGTTTTAAATGTGAAAAATATTAGAAAAACGAACCTCAATTCCTAACACAATACCAAATATTGCACCAATGCTGGAGAAAATAATTGAGTGCCACTCAACGATTATGGACATAAAGAATATTGTGAATGACGCAGCACTGAGGCCTGAAACAAATCATACTCCGCTTAGTTTGCAGTTATCAATTTGTTTGCAGTAAGAGAAGGCACGTACAGCCGACTTGTGTTATTATATGTTTGATAATAATTAATTCAAACGCTGTGAGTGAAAGCCAGTATCATTGGCGACGCGCATCGGGCGTGCCCGTTCGATCATGCGTTTTTGCAGTATTTCGTGCTGTAACGAGATCGCTCGAAAACTTATTAGCTAGGATTTGTGACATACTGGCCCTCAAAGTTCGGGAAGTTAATTATCTACGCGGTACTTAGACAAGGAACATTCCGATAAAATTTCAGCTTTCCAATTTTTCCGGTTCTTGAGATAGCGATTTTCCTGTCAAAAAATTTCATGGGTCCGTACATGGGAAGCACACGTATCTGGGAGCTGCACTTTATACCTCTAACCTTCACGGGGCTGGGAATATTCAGCCCCCTAGCTTTCCTGACTGCTGAGCCATTTCCCCGCCAAAAAATTTCACGGGGTCATACGTGAGAACCATACATGCCTGCAGGCTGAATTCGATGATTTTAGGTTGTGCATTTGCTGGGAACATTCCCTGAAAATTTCAGCCTTCTGGCTTCCCTGGTTCCCGAGTTAGCGATTTTCGCGCCAGGAACCCTCAGGGGACCGTACGCGAGAATCGGGCACACCTCGAGGTTGAATTTGAAAAATTTGAGTTCTATCTGCGCGGGAACGTAACTTCAAAATTTCAGCTTGTTGGCGTTCCTGATTCCTGAGTTAGCGATTCTCCCTCCAAAACTTTTACCCTCTCGCACGCGGGCCTAGGAGTGCGTGAAGGCTGGTACCGCGGTCGTGGGATGGCACAAAATTTTGCGAGGAACTTCCTCGCAAAATTTTGGTGCCGGAGCTTGCTTGGGTGTCGAATTGAAATATCCCGGACAGACACAGACACTTACACATACACACGCACACATACACGCATACTTGGGTTGTCGCAATATGCGTTTTCGCATTTGCATATACCTAGTCGATAGCGTACCGGCTACCGGTACGAGGATGCATTTTTTGCACAGCTCCCCCGCAGGTTTTTTTCGACAGTGGTACGTTCTTCCCGGCAGATGCTTCTAGCTAAAAGAATTGGGACTGGCCACCATGGCTGTTAGAAATTATTACAAAGACTTCCAATCCATGCCCGAAAAATTCAGCGCTCTAGATACTTCGGTTGCGGAACTACGTCAAATTTCACGTGTTCATGCGTGAGTGGCAGCGTGAATGATTTCTTCGCCTGCGCTTGCTCAAACACGGTCCTGGGTAACGTTCAAAAAGTTTCAGCACTCCAGCTACTCTGGTTGCGGAGTTACGTCAAATTTCACGTGTGCGCACGTAAAAGTGCGTGAGGCGTGAAAGTGATGTGTGAGTCCTTTTTGCGTGCATCTAGTCAAAGGCCACCATCGGCTATGCCTAGAAAGTCCAGGTCCTCTACTGGTTCAATTCTGAAGTTACAAAAGCGCATGCATGAAATTTTTGCGTGTTCGTACATAAGATGCAGAAGAGCTGACAAGTAATTTAGTTTCACGGGCACAACAGTAGGCGATAAGTGACGCTGCAAAATTGCAGCTC